TTTGACATAAGTACTCGCTCACTGCGCATCTTCAATGAATCATCCTTTATTATTTTACAGGATGAACCAAGAAATTGCCAAATCTCATAAAAAGCTTGATGATCTGCACGTGGAATATGGAAGTGAAATATTTGAACAATGGAGACAGGAACATGCAGCACAGGTGCTTACATCTCATCATGCAGAACTAGTGGAAGCATCACAGCCTGTGACTCAGTAGCACTACAGTTACTGTAACAACTCTTCATCAAAAGGGTTCAAAGAGTAAAACCAACTTTCCCAAGGCTCAGGCAGACTTTTTGCATTAAGAGCCAATGTTAACAATAAAACAATAATTTTATTGAACGGACATGTACATAGTAGTTGCTTAAGTTATGGCATACACTTTTATAGGAATGTTTTGTAAAGAAAGTTAAAAATCTACATGTTGAAAAATGCACAATTTCTACAAAATATTATCTGATGTCTGGAATGCTAGATAAAATTTACCTAGACAGCTAAGCTTGCATATATCTAGACATCAAAAAGGAAAAATGAAGATTATAACAATAAAAACAAAAAATCAACAAAAAAATAAGACCATGCTGATCTTGAAAGGAATTTGCCTTTTTTTTTTTTTAAACAAGGCCACTCAGCAAATTTAAAGTAAAACAAAAAATATGGTTTAAAGAGTGAGCAACAGGTGCATCAGATGGTGCAGACACGGTGTTAAAAATACATACACATACGAAAACCTCCGTCAAAAATCTAGGTGTATATATGGACACCTTTCTTTCTATGGACACACATATATCCCACATTTCTAAATCATGGATCTGTCACTTCAAGATACATATCAGGTGCGGATCCAGGATTATTTGAAAGGGGTGGGGGAGTCCACGGATATCTCTGCTTGTTCTTGATCTTACACCTGAGTAACAACATTGTCACATGATCAATTACTTACCTTCAAATAACTTCAATGGCGACCTGGAAGAGCACTTGACTCAAAACACTAATTCCAAATATTACTTTTATTGAACTCAACTGTCTTTTTATGCCCAAAGAACAAAAATTTTTGAACAAATGTTATACATTATAAAGTAGAACACTGCTCACTTTACCATAAACTTCTTCCCGGATGATCTTCACGAATGGTTATTAAGGACCTGTTCTGTTTGACCCATAACTATTTTTACCGATTAGTTTTATTGTATAAGATATCTTGGGTTATGGGTCCTAAATTATGTGCTCAGCATCATAAAAACACATTGCTCAAGAAAATTTTCAAAAAGAAGTGCAAAGATATCACTGAAGTGAGAGTGTTGTGATTTTTTCGATATTATTGCCCATATCAAACAGGATTTCAGTGCCCTATTGGTTTAGGTATAAAGTTTGTTTACTGTCTATTGTCATGTTAATGCAATGGTAAGACTGACTCTCAGTAAGGAGATATAGAGTAGCTGCCACCAGTGCCGTATTTGGATAGATATTTTTGGACAATCACTGTGAAATTCCCACTATGATCATCCACATTACATAGATATACATTTATTAGTTCCCAGACAGGCAGAATTATTACAAGAATGCAGTGTCTGTACATAAAAGACGGTGAAAACCAAAATTTGACAAACTTACAAATTTCTTAAAGATAAAGCATTCTTTTGAGAAACAATTTCATATCAAAAGGAAGCAACATCAAACATATTTATTGAAGTTTATTGAAAATCCCAAATGAATAAGGTAAACTTGCCACAAAGAAATCATATTTAAGTTATCTTTAATCCAAAATATATGGACTTGTAGACATTTATGTACAGATCCCAATTTTGCCAGAGAAGACAATTTCATGTATCAAAACATAGTAAAAAAATCACTTGTAAATCCCGAGATTAATGCCAGTAAGGGCAGATCTAATATATCATTTAAAAAGGATATGACCACTTTATCATCAGGCAAGATTCAGAACATGGCACATTACATATCATTTATAATGTAAAAAAATTCAATTGAAAAAAAAATGGACAGTTATAAGAATACGAATCTCTACACAAGTATATCAAATTCCTTACAAAATTCATGCTTAATTTATCTTTAAAATAAACAAAATGTAAATTATAACTGAGCATATGTACAAATCAAGTCCATGTTTTATTCTAATATTTCTTTTTCTCACCATTTTGATCTCAGATGTTGCATGGTATTTATATCTATAAAATAAAACTAAAACCAACAGCAGAGCCATTTAAGTATATTTCAACACATTTT